TCATAGGAAAGCTGTGCATGACAATTACCCGTTCCTTACTCACATTGCCATAGAAACATCCTCCCATTAGTTAAAATGAACTTAAACATATGGGATGTTCCTGGGACATCAGCAACCATGAGGGAGGTGGGCTAGGGACTGAAAAAAATGTACTGTGCCGCAAGCGGAGGGATCTGCCTTGGCACGCAGGCACTGCTCCTTACTACTGTTAGGTCCACTTCACAAAGGCGAAAACCGCAGCTGAGATTTTCATAAGTTGCATTGCTAGTAAACAACAGAGCCCAGACTCAAACCCACATCTTCTGATTCCAAATCCCGGGTGATTTCCATAGCATCTTTGCTGCCCCAGGGCACTGAATTAAGGCCCTGATGCAGGCAGTGTCTAACCCCAAAAAACAGTTGCTGGGACCATGGGACTGCCAGGTCAGGCTGGAAGCAGGTTTCCAGGTGGGGTCAGTTTGAGGCCCTCAACTCATGTGGTGAGGTGACGACAGGTAGGGCAGACCACAGACTCTTTAAATAAAAACACTGATCGCCCCCATCCTTGTCTGTCTGTCCTCCTTTGCTTCTCTCTTGGGTGAGCTCATGATTTTCTTTTTTTTCCTTTTGAGCTAATGTGGACTGCAAGATCAGCACCACATTTAACAGGCCGAGACCCAGAGAACTGGCCTCTTAGGGCAAGCTACAATTTCGCTTAAGGAGCTATAACTTCTGAGCTATTACCTGGGTGCTATATTTGTGGAAAGTTAGGAGCACATGAAGATTTTGTTTTGTTTTTCAAAATGTTGATGGCATTCAGGGGATTGCTAATATCTTTTTATTGTTCCGTTGCGACAAATGTCTTTGCCCAGATAAGAAAGATTTCAGCAAAAGGATTTCTTAATTAAATAGTGCCTCATGCCAAATTACCACTCAGAAGGCAGCGGTGGGTTCCATTAAAGGGTGAACTTCACTCCCACAGTCGACAGCTGATTAATGTGTTAATTAGGAACCCTGACCCCCCTCCCCGGTCACCCGAATCTTCTCTTAAGCCCAGCAGAATGTATATATTATGCCCATGTGGGTAACCTCATGGCATACTTTGGCTTTGACTTTGGACGTTTATATAAAAATAAAGGCTCAGTTGCCAACATGAATAGCTTTCTTTCTTTCCAGGGGAAATACAAGATGGAAAGAGTTATAGGAACCAGAAGTCCTGCCTTCCAGTTTTCTTCTATCAAGAGCAAGTGATATTTCTGCTGAGGCAGTGTCTTTTGAGTAGTTTAGCGGTGTAGGTTGCCACACATTTATTTATTTCACAGGAAAGGAGTGAATCCATCAGGCCACTGAGCTTATAAGTACTACCCTGGCAGTCAGCCACCAAAATATAAATACTCTAAATGGACTAAAGGAAATGTTCATTCTGTTGTTTAGAATTGGACACATCCCAGGAAGGTAAATTTAATCTTTTTGAGGACTGCTGTTATAGGGTTGAATGGAATACGCATTTGTTTATCTCCTTTGTGATCTTTTTGTCTTCCTGGTAATACATTATGTATTTGTGATACGAAGCATTTCAGCTGTCTTGCTCAATGGCCTTGCCTTAGCTGATTGTTCAGTCCCCAGATTGCCATCGTTAAACGGCTTCAGCTTCAGCTCTGTCCAATCTGGGACCTGTTAGGGAGAGAAGTGGGACCAAAGAGGCCAGATTCCAACAGAAACAAAGCTGGGGTGGAATTAGGGGGAAATCATTCCAGAGCCCAGTGAGTTGAGCTCTGCACTTCTTAATCTTTATCTTTGAAAATATCTGAAGGAATTCTGGTACTTCTTGGCATAATAAGAAAAAACTAATGCCTCAAAAAGTTAAAAAAAAAAAAAAATTAAAGCCGCCTGTGGAAAAAGAAAGGAAGAATACCCCATAACACGCAATTCAGAAAACCATAGTTTATGAGACACATGCTGTGTATTTCAGGGATATGCAAATGTTATTTTATTAAAGAGAGAGCTCTATAGTATATATTTTCACCTAACTGTCACATCTTAAGTAGTCAGCTCAGGCTCCTATGATGAAATCTTTAATTACCAGAAGTGTGTCATTAGTTAGATGTGGAATGAATGATGGAACTGTGTGTTATTGCCTCGCATGATATAGCCATTTGTGCCGTAAATTCACTGACCTCATCTTAAATGATGTGTCCTGTAAGACAGACTTGATTCATTATTTCTTAAGTGACAGGTTTTTTTCCTCTAATAATTTTTTGCTTCATCAGAAGCGTTGCTTTTCTGTATTTTTAGGTCAGTGTTCTGAATTGAAATATAATAGGGCAAAGATACACACACATTCACACTCACATTACCCAAAACGAGATAGTCATAAAACTTTCAGACTATCACCTAAATGCTTTAGGATGTTGTAGAAAATGAAGTTGTAAACATTAGGCCTTTGCTTTAACCGGAAAGTTTGATGCAATAGAATTTTACTTTAAAACTTTGATGTCTGAAATTCTTTTTATGTGGAAATAGATAAAATGTGGTAGAGAATTCTCATTTGATCATTGGGATGGATCTATGAGCATTCCTTATTCATCACTGAATTATTAAAAGTGAAGGAAGCGAAGGAAGGGAGAACATTTAAGTTATATTTAGATTATTTTTTGTGACTCCACTTGAAAATATTTATTTAGCTTGAGGAAACAGAGGAATCCTCTGGAGGCAAATAATTCAATCTGGCAATTTAAAAACCAATTAAGGATTTCAGAAAACTCTTTCCCCTTATGGTTAAAAAATAAGATCCAAAAGAAATATGCCAGAAAATTTGGCATATTATTTTAATTAGTTTAATTCATTGATAATATTTTTTAGTTCATGATTAAAGAAGCTATATTTGATCCTTTCCTTCAAGCTTATAAATTTACATTTTAGGCTTTCTATGGATGCCTAATATTGAAACAGAATCGGGTGGCTTTATTTCATACAGGGATTTAAATGTCACATTATTACATATTAACTTTATAAAAATGATCAAGTTTTAAAAATAATAACTTACTTGCCTCAAGGTTTAACTATTAGTTTATTAACCTTTATCTAGATAAGAATTTTGAGGGCCTGATGGATTTTGTGTGTTTCTTTTCATCAGAGACAATTCTGCACTTACTTGTAAACTTGTAGACATCTCAACTATGATTAAAAAAAAAAAATCCCGTAATTCTAAAGAAACCTGAAAATACTGTACCGAAACCCAGAAGTATTTTAGCATTGAAATTATTCCTCTCGCAACAAGGATTTTTGAAAGGGTAATTTCATATGAGACTACACAAAAAACAAATGTTTGCCAGTAAGTATCTGTTATTCAATCTCATGCCTTGCAGTATATTACCTGCGAGTATCAGTGGGAAAAAAAAAAGAGAAGGAAGAGAGTGGATTTACACATACAGACCCACATCTGCCGCAAGTGTACGCACCCCCAGTCACATACTAGCATACCACCACTGTTTACAGTCAAGGAAAGCTGAGAGTTAAATGAGATGAGTAATCAAATGCCCAGCATATGTTGTTTTTGCATTGTTGATGTGACCAATCATGATTAAAAGTTATCATCTTTTAATGCTATCAGTTTACCATAGTTAAAAAAAAAATAACATGCACCAACAACGGAACAACACACACCCTCCTCAACAAAAACAAGGTCCCATTTAGAGCGATATTGGAACCAGTGCTTTATGGAGGTGAGCCTTGAATTCAGTGAACTCACCATTTCACTGCATTTCAGAATTCTTCCTCTGCTGCTGTATGGATTGAGTGCTAAGGAAATGACGAAAAAAAAAAAGAGAGAGAAAGAAAAAAGAAAAAGAAAAAAATCGTGTGTGTAATTTTCAGTCGGAAAAGTAAGGCACTGAAAGAACTACTGAAAATTTTGACATCTGTTTATCTGTTTATAGCTATGGCAAGATTACTCATATTAATTCTTGTTTAAAATGCCATATGAAGGAAAGACATTTGTGCAAACAAGAGTCATATTTGAATTGTAGATCATGTCTTCACCATCTGTGAGAGCTGATGGTGTTGCAAAATTAATGTGTTAATGAAATCACAATAATTTCTCCAAAGTAATGGGTTCTGAAGCCGAGAATGACTATTTTTTGAACTTTGATGTCTAGTGATTTCCAATTGGGAAAAGCTCTCAGCCTTTAATTAGTTCTGCAGCCCAACTTTAAAATAAATTTGGTGATATCTTTCTTTTGCCAGGAGTAGATTTGAAGGGGGGGAAGAAGCCATAACAACTTTTGGAAAACGTTCTCTGGTGTTTGAAAAGTTGTTAAATAAGACTGCCTGCCAAGAAATGTCACCAAAAATTCTGACTACTGAGAGAGAGTGGGCAAACAGCTCAAAAAATAATTCTAGCTTGCTGCAACATCACAGGTTGCGAATAGCTAAACCTCACACAGACTTCATGACTAATTCCAAGTTTCCCTTTGGAAGCCAGACATAATGATGTTCCGCGCTTTGTGTTATTGGTTAACACAGCACAACCTTTCCAACTGCATTATTGAACACAGTCAATAGTGTAAAGTACTTTACGTGAGGAGAATTTTATGGGGCTCTATTTCAAAGGCCACTGAACGTTCTGGAGGATCCTCCTCTCCACAACTGTTCACATTTACATTGACAACGAGCCTCTTTGACAGGTGAAAATATGTGGGCAGGTAGATGTACGCCTTTCTGTCAGATCCACCTTTACATTGAGCTTAACGGGCACAACAGGGTTTTGGGTTGTTGTTGAATTGTTTTTAATGGAAGATGGTGATAATTGCTATTCCAAAGAGTTACTATTTAAAAAGCAAGTCTGACTTCCAAGGAGAAGTCATTTCACGAACATTTAAGAATGTTACCTTTCCGAAAGGAACACTTCAGCCTGTTCGAAAAATTGTGATAAAGTTTGAAAGAACCTCTCTGTGAAACATGAAACACGATCTACCAGAGGAAATTGCTTATCTTGTTTTCTTTTTATTACTGTGTTGTAGGTATGTGACTGGTGTAAGCACATAAGACACACAAAAGAATACCTGGATTTTGGGGACGGGGAAAGAAGGCTTCAGTTCTGCAGTGCAAAATGTCTCAATCAATACAAAATGGACATTTTCTACAAAGAGACACAGGCCAATCTTCCAGCTGGGCTGTGCAGCACATTACACCCTCCCATGGAAAATAAAGCAGAAGGCACCGGGGTGCAGCTGCTCACTCCAGACTCTTGGAATATCCCTCTAACAGATGCTCGGAGGAAGGCCCCCTCCCCGGTGGCTGCAGCTGGCCAAAGCCAGGGCCCTGGCCCATCGTCGTCCACCACCGTCTCTCCATCTGACACTGCCAACTGCTCTGTCACTAAAATCCCCACGCCAGTGCCCAAGTCCATGCCCATCAGCGAGACTCCAAACATCCCTCCTGTCTCCGTCCAGCCACCTGCTAGCATCGGGCCTCCCCTCGGTGTCCCGCCTCGCAGCCCTCCCATGGTGATGACCAACCGCGGCCCGGTGCCGCTGCCCATCTTCATGGAACAACAGATCATGCAGCAGATCCGCCCGCCCTTTATTCGTGGGCCGCCGCACCACGCCTCCAACCCCAACAGCCCTCTGTCCAACCCCATGCTCCCCGGCATCGGGCCCCCGCCCGGCGGCCCCAGGAACCTGGGCCCCACTTCCAGTCCCATGCACCGGCCCATGCTGTCGCCCCACATCCATCCACCCAGCACCCCAACCATGCCTGGGAACCCCCCGGGCCTGCTGCCCCCCCCGCCCCCGGGCGCGCCCTTGCCCAGTCTCCCCTTCCCGCCGGTGAGCATGATGCCAAATGGCCCGATGCCCGTGCCCCAGATGATGAATTTCGGGCTGCCGTCGCTCGCCCCGCTGGTGCCGCCCCCCACCTTGCTCGTGCCGTACCCCGTGATCGTGCCCCTGCCCGTGCCCATCCCCATCCCTATTCCCATCCCTCACGTCAATGATTCCAAGCCCCCCAACGGATTCTCCAGCAACGGGGAGAACTTCATTCCGAGCGCCCCTGGCGACTCCTCAGCGGCCGGAGGCAAGCCAGGCGGACACTCCCTGTCCCCCAGGGACTCCAAGCAGGGCTCGTCCAAGTCTGCGGACTCGCCGCCCGGCTGCTCCGGCCAAGCCCTGAGCCTAGCGCCCGCGCCCGCGGACCACGGCCGGAGCGAGGTGGTGGACCTGACGCGGCGCGCCGGCAGCCCCCCGGGCGCGGGCGGCCAGCTCGGCTTCCCCGGCGTGCTGCAGGGTCCGCAGGACGGCGTCATCGACCTGACGGTGGGCCACCGAGCCCGGCTGCACAACGTGATCCACCGCGCTCTGCACGCGCACGTCAAGGCGGAGCGCGAGCCGGGCGCCGCGGAGCGCAGGACCTGCGGCGGCTGCAGGGAC